TCTATCTATTGCCAGCAAGCCACCTATTCAGGTGAGGATCACAGCAAGCCAGAGCCAGCACTGAAAAGCCAGGAACAGTGACCTATCACTCCTGGACTGACCCCGGACAAACAGACAATAGCAGACGGCCAACCAAACCTACCCAGCATGTTGTCCGGGAAAAATCATCCCATAAAAAGACTTAATGTCCAAGGCTAGAATCGAGGCCCCGACACTGGAGTCGTAGAAAGCAACTCTATTAATTCCGTTGAACATTCCTAATAACAGAAAAGAGATTTACTGAACAACACTGGAAGAGACGTTAGCATCCCAATACTCATGTCTAGGACTATGACTTTAGAATTAAAAAAAAAAATCAATCAAATCAGTTCAAAGATATTTAACATGGAATAGGCACAAATGGGACATTAGCGTACAGAATACATTAAAGATAAGCTTTGCTAAAAGAATAATTTTAGGCATTATATTCTAAAAGTTCAAAAGGTAAAATTGAAAATGAGAACACTAGAGGGGATGAAAGAATCCATAGATGTCTGATCAAGCAAAGACTCATCATCGCAACAAGAAACGCTGCTCAGAAGCTAATGCAAAAGCAGCTCAGACAATGTGATCGTCTTTGAAAAGCGCTTGAAAGAACCATTTGCTAATGAAAAATCTAATTTCAGCAGTTTATCTAGAAAAGTACGATTAAAGAAGAGGTTACTTGCCCCACAAATTATAATTGGGAGATAACACAGATTGACTATAGTGATATTATTTAACTAAAGGCCTATAAAGAAAGCATCTTAACTACAGAGCTTAAGTTTTTCATAGATTTAAAAACAACAGTAAAGGAATTCAGCCCAAACCAACACCACTACAAAATAAAAAAAATGAGAATATTTTTTAAAGACCACAAACATATATAATTATCAAACAAATTAAATATTGCACTTAACCATAAAATAATGTTCAAAACTAAAATTGTACATATGTAAAAGGACAATGTATACCTACAGTATTCTCATATTGCAAGTCGCATTAATTCATTTTCTGTCTTAACACAGGTCAACATTGTTAACAAACACCTAACATTGGAATAGCTGCAATGTAACATGAAATATAATCGCTCGCTCATTATACACTGCAGGCCATCCCAGCTATTCGATGAAACATCATAACCAAACATTTTTCATAATAAAAAAAAATTAGGATGCATGAAATGACTAGGTGCAGCGCTAAGCTGTTTGTGCGTCACAACCCTGAATCAGAAAATGGATTGAAAACGACTACACATTCTTAAGCTTTCAGAGGGGCCTTCCTAAACTGATCTGGCAGTCCATGACTAGTTTAATACTCATGGAAAAGACTCTTTGATACTGTCCATAAATCTTACTTCCCCAAAACAAATTACAACACAAAAACCTTAAAGACCGCTTTTTCTTATTTCAGGATTGAAGGAGCTGAGTTATTAGAACAGATCGAGGGAACATATTCTTTTTTGAGAAAACAGGTGTGCGGACAATAAAGTTAGTTATAAAAATAAAGCTTTACATGAAATAAATACGTGGAAATAACTTTCATCTGCTCGTTCCTTACAAACTGGCACCTAGCGGCCAAAAAAACAATTAAGGTTTAGCTTTGTCGTAATTTTAATGGCCTTGCCCACTGCACAAAACTGGACTTCACTACTAAATTAAAACATCTGAATAGAACATCATAAAAATTCTACACTGAATCAACAACAGGTGTCTTAAAATACCTAATTCAATACCTAATTAAAAAACACTGTGAACAATAAATTGCTTGGTATGCATGAACAGATCTCAATAACATTATTAAACGCTCACCAAACTACATCCCTTTGGAAACTACCGGATAAGGCCCTTCAGGAAACAGTGATTTGCATTCCGGAAAAGCTCTGAATAGTACATAAAAGCTTTTATGTGGGAATATATTTTGATTTGCAAAACAGAATGTTACTCAGCAAGTTTCAGCCCATTCTAAAAATTTGCTTTGATCTTTCAAAAAAGTTACTCATATCAGTAAAACACAAAAGACTTGGCAATGTCGGACAGAAGAGACCTGCAATTTCAACAGCATTTTTCAGTGTTTTCTGAAAAAAAAAAAGCTTCGCCTATCAACATCCACAGGCTTTCAGACCATAAACTACACAAGAGTAACAAACATAAGCCCATGGCCTACAGAACCAATATGCATTAATTCAGTAGACTGCAGGCTATGCACACCAGATGGCATTAACAGCTATAGAGCCCTTCACTAACCTGCTCCATCGTGTGTCTCTCTTTATGGTCAGGCTACCCCTTTCAGTGTCAAAGGTCACAAGAGCTGAAACAGCAGCTTTGCGACCACAAAAGTTCCAAAATGTGTAAACAAAAGGAAAAACAGATGTACAGTACGTGGGACATCATATACTGTATTTTGAGTGCCGAGCTTAGAATTGATCAAACGGTGAAAGCCAAGGTTTTGAATTAGCTGGAGCCTTGATCTGTATATTTTAAAAAAATTGCTTTTAGGCTGTAGGAAAAAAATATTTAACGCAAATGTAATGATCACATTTTGCATTTTATATTCCATTAAAACAAATTACTAAAACATTCATTACATTCATTCATTTTCTACAGGTACATCCTGGATGGGATGCCAGTCTGCTGCAGGGCACACACAGATACAAACACACTCTCGCACACTCACACCAGGGCCAGTTTTCCCAGAAGCCAATTTATCTACCAGTATGTCTTTAGACTGTGAGAAGAAACCAGAGCACCTGTAGGTAACCCATGCAAACACAGGGAGAGCATTAATATTCCACAGAAATAGCATCACAGGTCTGAAATTGAACCCAAGGCCTCAGCACTTGATATAAAATCTTTACAGTAGTATCATGAACTTTTTCTGCTGAGCTATACACTCCTTAATCACAATATGTTTCCATGAATTTGAAAACAACAATGCAAACATTTATGGAAAACAGGTACAGAACTCAAATCAGCAATGGAGAGAGTCAATAGTTTGTCAAAATGCAGTTTTAAAGGCCCCAGTAAACTGATACAAACAAGTTACCTGGAAGCACTTTCCAAAACTCGGAGAAAACATGATTTCTATACCACAAGTCTAAACAATTTTAAACATGTATCATTCAGATATATATCTGACAAATTCGGAGCAAGATTTAAAAAATGACCATTTGTATCATAGCTTTGCTCAAACTTAAAGTGTCCTAACCAAAGAAGGTGCTCATAATGTTACAGAAAGTACACAGACAACTGAATCATTCAAAAAGTACAGAAGACCTAAGATCTACCCATCCATTTTCTAACTGCTTTATCTGATACAGGAATGCGGGGGAACTGGAGCCTATCCCAGCAAGCAGTGAGCACAAGTTACGCCCTGCACAGGGCAGACACTCACGGACACAAACACGTGCACATTCACACCAGGGCCAATTAATCTACCAGCATGTCTTTGGACTATGCGGTAAACTGGAGCACCTGGTGTTCACCCACATGAACACCTGTAGAACATGCACACTTCATGGCTCATAGCGTCCCAGAAATTGAACCCGGGGCCCCAGAACTGCAAGGCATCAGGGCTATCCACTGTGCCATCGTGGAGCCCTCAAGAATTGATAAAGACCTAAATAGAAGTTCAGGTGGGTAGCTGCGTCAGCATGCGTAGGCTGCAAAGGAACAAGTAATAGGTTTATTCCATGCTGAAAAAAAAGAAGAAAGAAAACACAACGTTTCGGCCATGGAGCCTTCTTCAGGCGTGAGAAATGTGTGAAAGGACTTGATCAGTGGAAAGGGGTGGCAGGTAGAGACAAGACTGCAGTTCTTATTGAACCGCATGACCAAGAAATGACCTTGGTCACCTGATCTGCTGGTGGAAGACAACTGGTTGGGGGACAATTTAAAAACCAGGGAGCTAAGGCTTCTGGGATCAGTTAACAGCTGCTGCCTGAGAGAAGAGCAGATTCTCTGCTATGAAACTGCACCAAAGGCAAAAAGAGCGAGGAACCTTCAACCGTTCCAGCGACTGTGATAATGGTAACATTTTGAGACTTGGACTCAAAGTTTTGAGAAGAGCCCCAGACGGAAGCTTTGAGCCATTAAAACAACCAGCTTAGCTGTCCAGCTGTGCCTATAGAAAAGGCTAATGTTTTGTGACCGCTGGTTGTTTTACCTCTCACTGTAAATAATGGAACACTACCTCTTAATCTCATGGCTGTTTTGCGTATTTGTTTGACCTAAAACCACCCTTTTAAAGACCACCCTGCTTCAGGCTGTTTCACAACCAGATAACACTAATAATAATAATAATAATAATAATAATAATAATAATAATAATAATAATAATTGCTCACACTTATATAGCGCTTTTCTGGACACTCCACTCAAAGCGCTTTACAGCTAATGGGGATCCCCTCCACCACCACCAATGTGCAGCCCCACCTGGATGATGGGACGGCAGCCATAGTGCGCCAGAACGCTCACCACACATCAGCTATCAGTGGGGAGGAGAGCAGAGTAATGAAGCCAATTCATAGAGGGGGATTATTAGGAGGCCATGATTGGTAAGGGCCAATGGGGAATTTGGCCAGGACGCCGGGGTTACACCCCTACTCTTTTTGAGGAACGCCCTGGAATTTTTAATGACCACAGAGAGTCAGGACCTCGGCTTTACATCTCATCCGAAGGACTGCGCCTGTTTACAGTATATTGTCCCCGTCACTATACTGGGGCATTAGGACCCACATGGACCGCAGGGTGAGCGCCCCCTGCTGGCCCCACTAACACCTCTTCCAGCAGCAACCTTAGTTTTTCCCAGGAGGTCTCCCATCCAGGTACTGACCAGGCTCACACCCGCTGAGCTTCAGTGGGCTGCCAGTTGTGAGTTGCAGGGTGATACGGCTGCTGGCGTAAAAAAAACGCTACCACATGTGCTAAGAAGAACTGCAAGAGCCTTGATAAAAAAGCCCAATGGTACACTTGGTTACATACCTGAGGAGGCATCTCCATCTAACAGGTTGTCGTCTTCCGTAGTGTGGAAATCCATGATGACTCCAGCTCCATCGAGAAGCTCTTCGTCGCTGCTGGCGCTCGTTATGCTGTTGTAACTATTGCGGTAATAGCCTCTGTTGAACAGCTGCTCTGACTCCATTTAGCCACTTGATAACCTTACAACGGCAACAACAGAAGAAAAATTCAGTAACGATACTGGTCAACGTGTGTTATTTTTTAGATTTCTAGCCAGGGAGCTTTATTCAGAGAACAGATCAAAGTCACCACGCACTCGGACGCTCACGGACCACCGACAGGCTGGCAGTTCTGGGAAAAAAAAACACACGAAACGACTGCAGGGTAGTACCATTTGCGAACGGTTCAAAAAGAAAGATAGAAATACGCTAATTAAAATTGGGCAGGTGCCTCTGCAAGGCCACGCACAAAGTATTCCCATTAGTTAAAGACATTAAAGATAAATCTCTCTAAGGAAACAACAACAAAATGGTGTGAAATGCCCCACCGATGACAAAGCTGACTAAATAGTTGAATTTCTAGATTCACATTTCCAAAGACTCAGCAACTTGTGGGGGGGACAAAACAGCATGGAATAGGAAGTATGACACCTAGCAGTGAATTCGGTTACTTTCATTATAGTTTCTAGGTTCATCACTATCTTTTTTCATCACAGCTCCTTGCAAACATCTAGGCCTATAAGTAGGCCTGAATGAAAAAAGTGTCCTGACAGGATCAATGCCATAAAGAGCTTCAGAAGAACAAACGTCAGAGAACACAGTGTAAAGTACTGCAAAGCTTTACTGTGGATTTCTATTGCTTGACTTCGTTTCTTACGCACGTCAAGCAATTACAATCAAAATGCATAACTTCTAAAAGCATTCAAGTAACTTTACGAGACAAAAAAAATTCAAGCATCATATTCTCGAATTATTGAATGCATAGCACTGAGGATTTAATCGTTAATACCAGGAATATAACATTTAGACCTCACCCTTCAGCTGAAAGACTTCAGCTCTGGGAAAAAAAGGGGAAATACGGATTTTAGCAATTCTCTACTAAATTAGGAAGAAAATGTGGAAATTCAGCATCCTGTTAAATCCTGTTTCATTTAATTACATAAACTCTTAGATTTAATATATTATGGCAGTTGAAGAAAACAAGAAGGGAAGCTTTTCAGAGAGACGCAACTCATGATACATTAGCAAAACCATGCCAATCCAAGCCTTCATTGCCCCCTCAGGCACATACACTCACTAATATCACAGTGTCACTGCACTACATCCTTAACACTATAGCCATCCTTTGATACATATGCTGTGAGTGTATGCAAAAGATGTAAGGTAATTATACTTGGAATTGTTATTGTTGGATATGTCAGTGCCAATCCAATGCACACAACCTTCCACGTGACAGAACTAACACAAAAGACAAAGACCACTCTGTCTTTTAAGTACTAGCATGCTGGAAAGGCAAAAATAAAACTCCCAAGTACAGAACATGCAATACAAAGAAACTAAGCCATTAAAGAACTTAAAATTCAACCCACAGCAGAGTTCATTAGTACTCAGGCAACAGCTTCTAAAAAGCTACTGACAATATAAGGTTCAAACAGATTCAAATGCTTTATATATACAAAGGTAAGCGCATTAAAGCCGCAAAAAACACCGTATTAGAAAACAGCTGGTTGGCCTTTAGCACTCAAGACTCATGTCATGATGTTATTATGCACGTGACTAAGCTCTGAGCCTGTGGACAAGGCAGGCTTAAAATAGTACAGCCCATGGGCCATATTCATCACTAACGAGACAGGCTGATGCAGACCCTCTCGAGACCAATGATCCTGCTGCCTCCCAGGACATATGGAAGCAAAAGCTTGCTGAGCTGGGGTCGGATCCTGCAGCAGTGACGACAGGTGCAAAGAAGCGGTCTCGCCAAGCTCCCAGGGGACAAAGCTAGTGCCCTAGGGAGCCACTGAAAGGCTCCCCGTCTTCGACGAGCTTCTGCTGGCACCAGAACAGGAATACTCAAAACAGATGACCTGCTTATGGGCTTGTATTACGTCCTGCAGAGGAGCCCCCCCGAACAGGGCGAATGACAAAGAGCTTGGGTGATCGTCATCAAAACCAACTGTTTCCCCTTGGATACAGGCAGCAGATGGGCAGGAACTGAGGACCAACCCATTTCTTGTGGTGGTGCAAAGCCATCAGATATTAGTTTTGACAGTAGCTTTTCACAACTATTTCTTTCCTTGCCGGTCTTGTTCATAGCTATCACTGACAGCAACAGCTTTGAGGATGTCGGCCTGTCAAGCTGTGAGACAGGACTCCTCCTTCACATCATCAGACTATTAGCTGACTTCAAAGTCAGTTCAAGATATCGCAACTGGAATCTTACGTGTGACCAAGCTGTGGAACATTTCTTTTCGTTAATTTACTGTAACCCATCTTTCACATTTAAGTCAATTCTACTAGTCAATATAGTTTATGATCTGGTGAGGAAAACGTTGAAGTAATCCTTATTGCTGGTACTGCAATGTGTTAACAGGATTTAATATTTGATCAATAGGCAGATTTTCTTAATACAATTTTATTAAGATTCGGGCGATTTAAAATACCATGAGACAAAGGCATGTTTTGCCTCTGGCATTTAAAGATCACTACACAAAATGAGAAGACATTTTGAAAGAATGTTTTTGGCAAGATCAGAACCCTATGAGAAGGAGTCTGGCTGACTTGGAACATCTCAAGCTCCCCGGCAACAGACTGGCAAACCTGGAGAAGACTTCACCAGGGAAGAAAGTTTCACTTCTAGAAAGAATCAAGGATGGAGGGAAAGAAAAAGACGGTAATAGAGATTTTGTTTTAGGGCGCTGTATTATACTTCAAGAGTTCCTCAGCAGAGGCGTCCTGGACATCGATCATTTAGTTCTCACCACTGTGAAAACATCATACTACATGAGAACGAGGGGTCACCCTCATCAGCAGCTTGCTTCCCCTCTTGAATGCAGATTCTGAGCTCCAGGGTTTCCTTTTCAGCACAGGCGTCCATTGGCTCGGTAGGGGAAGAAGAGTTTGCTTTTTCTGGAGGCAAAAGGAAAACCGGAGGAACGATTTTGCATTTGCAGTGGATATCATGGCACATCTAACTGAACCAAAGGTGAAGCTGCAAGGCAATTAAAGCTTCCCAAGTCAAATAAGCGGTTTTCAAATCGACTGCCGAGCAAAGCGCTGACTAATTTACCCACAGTGAAATACTTGGCCACTCTCACAAAAGGAGGCTCACGTGCTCTACAAACAGAGGGTGACAGCAGGAACTGGAAACTAAAAAGAAACCCATTTGGGACAGAGACTGGGAGATGCTACTTTACACACAAAGTTGTAGATATACAAAAGTTGAGGCCCAGACTTCGGGCTCCTTCAAGACACAACTTGCCGAAAATTTAGACCCCCTTGGTAGTAAACCACCAAATGAGCAACTTGGGCCTCCTCTCATTTAAATGAAGAATTTGATTTCTAATTCACCACGATGGCCTGACCATGAACATCCGCACATGAGAGAAAGGACAATTTTAAATGTAAATAACATAAGAGGATGCGATATTGTTAACAAGTCACCATGCAGAAAGGAATCAACGGTAAGCGCACAACTTACAACACCCTCAGATTACTCTAAACATCAGCAGCAACACACTGAAGGCTCAATTTGAGAAAAGTACATAAGTGTCTAAAATGACAAACGTTCTTTTTAATTCTTTGTCTATTAGCAATTTTGCAAGTCCATAAAAAAGGTGCTGCAAGCTTATACTATCTGTGTGCCACTGTTAATATTGCATATCATGTCCTCTAATCAATAAAAACCACAATGGTACCATCTTCTCACCCTTTCAATTGATTACACAAATGATTACTGAAGCACATTCTAAGGAGCAAAATGTATAGTACTGAAAGTACTATGATGACATAATATTACAAACACAATGCACAGCTTCTAGCTTCAAAATTTACAGTATCCCATTAATGTGACCCCTTTTAAAAATGTTTTTCTTGTATAAATAACCTCTTTTTTAATTATTACAATTCTCCACATTCAAATATTGTTAGATAATTATGGACAACGGTGCCACCTACTGTCAACAGAAGTATTGCTGGTAACTGGTTCCTTACCTGCAGGTGCTGCATTGGGGCACCAGCATTCAAAGAAATCAACGCTGCATTTAGACTAATTCAGGGCAGTGATCTGCAGTCTTGTCTGGGACTTGTCTATCCATTTTCAGATTTATATTCCTGCTCCATTTAGTGATTCAACTGAGTCACTAACTCAGTTAATCAATCATGTTTCTGTTAACTTAATATGCAGGGTTAAGAAAGTTTTGAAAAATGAAATGATCAATAAACATCAAGCCTTCACACATAACAAATCCGAGGCTGATACTTTGGAGATTTCTCTAGGCTTACTCCTAATGTTTCTCTGCCTGTGTGGTTTGTGAATGACTCAGCAGTCTGTCATATGAGACAACACTCTTCTTTTAAGTACAGTACATTGTACTGAAAACTAAGATACTGGGCTGCCTGATTTCGTTCCTCCGTTGATACCTCATTTCAAAGCAAATATCGTTAAAGGGTTATTTCAACCTTGTGAAATACAGAACACATATAGATCAAATAATTATAACGATGGATAAAAGACTAACCTAATTTGTAAATGAAATCCTGCTTCATGGTGCTACTTTGTTTGCATGATCAAAAGCAAAGCAAGCAAAACAATCAAAACGCCTAAAAACATTTTAAGAAGAAAGGACACAAACTGACAGTCCATCAGATTTTTCAGGACATTCAGATACGATCTGATCATGACGTCAAACGCTGCTTTAAATATAAAATGCAAAGAATTAAGAGGAATCCTGCATCAGAATGTAATCGCAAAGCCCATTCCACTTTGATAAGGGCCGTTTCACTATTGTGACAAGGAGAGATGCTCAATTCAAATTCTTGATAAATAAATGTGTGCCGTAAGTAAAGGGTCCACACTCTAATACTTGTAATGAGAATTGATTAGAAATATTCTTAACATTATTAGAGCAACAGAATATAGCGTTGATTTATTACACAGACATTTTACTATGGAAACCTTAAACTACTGAGGGACAAGCCAGAGTACTATTTACTATTTAGAATACTAGATTCAATTCTAGGTCACTCTTTCTTTAAATGTACAGTACGAATACCAATACCAGTACTCTTAACAACAATGTTACTTCAATCTAGCTCTCCATAGATGGACTCAAAATATATTTTGGCCTTACAGGCTTCACAGAAGAGAGTATTCCTACAGATATATCAGGTACAGTAAGTAGACGGGTTGAACCAAGAGGACTATTTTTGCTTAGTAATGAAACAAAGACAGGGTTACAACTGGAATCTTCAAGGGAATGTATGTAGACAAGAGAACAGGACACACTTCTTCACTCGTGGGTATCTGAAACAAGCTGTCCAGCCAGGGCCCAACGCAGGATGAGTAAAAAAAACAGCTGGATGACATTTTACACTTAGCCACTGAACTACCAAATGAGCAAGTGAGGCTGGATAGCTTCCTGAAGAACGCAACTTTTCCAGCTCAACCTTTTTATCTCTGAACAGAGAAGACAATGGGGGGACCTGATTAAAATTATTCAAAATCCTCGAATGGCACTGACACAGATAACCCCATGGACATCTTCAGAAACAATACTGAAACACAAAAAGAGGACCAGAACCGTGTGGAAGGACATTTAAAACTAAGAGCAGGTGGCACTTTCCTACACAAAGAGTGGGGGAGTTAAAGAAGCTACCCAGCTTTTTTTTTTCTTTTTTTTTTATAACATCACTTTATTAACCCTTTACAATTTCTTGCATTAGGAATTATCTTTTTGCACACACCAGCTTGCTCTCCATGAGACACACAGACAGGGAGAGAGCCTGGGGTCAGAGCGCAGGGTCTACCATTGTACAGCGCCCCTGGAGCAGCTGGGGTTAAGGGCCTTGCTCAGGGGCCCAACGGAGTAGGATTCCTCTGCCGGCTGCAGGATTTGAACCGGCAACCTTCCAGCCACAGGCACAGATCCTTAGCCACAGAGCCAGAAGCTACCCAGCTATGGTGGTGAAGCCAATGGTTCCTAACCTTGCTTACCTTTTAAAGAGGATATGCAATACTATGTCGAGTTTAGAAAGAATCAGTAGTGCCGAGTGCATTTCAAACCACAATAAAAGTAACACGTACACAGAAGCTTGTAAAACCTCCAGTTTGTATCACAAAAAAGACGAATTGTCATGTATGCGCAGCACCATGTTCTGTGACTTAGAATGAGGCAACACATCATGTGGTGATGTGTGCGGCCCTACGACACTGTCAACAAGCAGGCTTGTGAATACATCTCTTTTAATCAAACAGAAATAATGCTTTTGAGTTTTTGCCAGCAAATACTCCCAACTCGTTAAGCGTGCAGATCACATTGGAACATTCCTGCGGCGAAATGTCTGCTGCACAACCTGTACTTAATTCGTTCCTAAACCATTTCTAACTAGTGACTAGTGAGCAGGAAGGGCCACATCATGGCACGATTTGTGGGAACCCGAATGCGAGTTTGCAACAACATGGCAACAAACAGTAGCTTCACAAAGTTCACAATTTTGCGCTTAATTTGAAATTCGCAACATTTTTCTTTCACGAACAAGAATTAACAACTGGTCTGAAAAATTACACATGAAAACGTTACACAAATGAAAAACTATTACACTATAACCAGCATTATTTTCTACTCCTATTCACTTGGTAATGCGACAGTATGCTGTTTCTTTGATAGGGAGCATCTAGGCAGATAAGTCAAACCAAATGAGAAAAAGTCACTTTCATTAAAGAAATATTTCAGTTATATTTTAAGAATCATAGGCTATCTAGTGATATCATGGTTTTTAATGACAGCTAGCAAAACAGAAAAAATAAAGTCAGAGCAGGTAACAAGCACTTGTATATATTTAGGCTGTTACTGAGTTGTTATATGCCATTCATGGTTTCAGAAAGTTCGTGAAAAACCCTCCTGATCAACAAGTCATTGTCATGACAGTCCGCAACAATATGCACTTGCCCTTGAACTCAGTCTGACCAGAAGTTTTTTTTTTTTCTCAACAGTGCAATAAGAGTCAGACTGTACTGGAAAAGTGGATCTGGGACAAATGAGAAAGAAGACTGTCTCATCCCTGCAAGACAGAAGATATGCAGTATTCACTGTCAGCCACAAAGGAGAATGCAGTTATGTGAAATGTTTGCTTTCTTTGTAGGGGGAACCTCTGGACACTCTGTGGTGAAAATAATGCCTATCCAGCAAAATACATTTTATTATCCTGCTCTCACAAGATTTTCCACTACAAGGTGGAAAAAACATTCTGCTGTCTTCACTTAATTTCTCAAAGAAGTAAATGCAGCTTTTCATAAGTACTTCACAACTAGCATAACTTTGTACACAGACACAGCTTTGTGCCATCTCTGCACTTCTTAAGTGCTGCTCGTCCAGATGTAACTTCACCTTATATGACACAGCCCAGGTACAAACAGGTAGTATGCACAGTGCTGCAATGAGCCATTACAACTGTCTGCGTGAAAGGACGCTTACCAAACCCGACTGAAAAGCATTTTACGGTTCGTATAAATAAAATGTATTTCCGAAGCATTAGAGTATAGTTTTGAAAATCGAGTTGTTGTTTTTTTTTATTCACAAGAACTTCACTTTGATTTTAACATATTATTGCAGCATTATGGCTTGAGAAAGTATTCACGAACTAGCTCGATTCATCCAACATTCATTTCATTCTCATCCTCGGCTTCTCTGTTCAACCGTTCGAATACTATTGCGGATGAAAAAGAGTGAGAGGGCAGATATTCACATCCGTCTCCAGATAACACGCTCCGTTTGCACAGATTTCCTGGTGGAAGGGGGACAGTGTGCTGCCCTCAGCCTTAGACATCTTGTCAAGCTAACATCATGAAAGAGGAAGCAGCTATACATCATTGAATATAGGGGTTACAAGACGGTTCTGTCCTGAAGTTTCCCTGTGCATACTGTACCAAAACTTCAGAGACACGCTATATGAGTGCCTACTTATATAACCCGGGACAAATTTATTAAATATCACAGGACCCTCGTATTGAAAAGCAAGCATTAGCAACCAAAACAAGACGGGCCAAGATGGGCCTCCTCTGCTTTTGTAATGAAAAATGCACACATCCAAAGTAAGGGTGCAGGGTAGAAAAAAAAAGAGCTAGCTAAATAAAAAAGGCTCACACTTCCATTACACACTCCAAAAAAAAAAATCAAAATCAACTTTGACATCTAAACCTGATCTTCATTGGGCCCGTTTCTGGGATGCAAATGCATTCGTGTTCTTTGGTTCAAGGAGAAAATAACCTTTATATATATATATTTAAAAAAACATTTATGTAAGTGGTCCAGCTGAAAAGGTGTCGCTGGGATTCACAGCTCCCGACTCCACGCTACCGAGACCCAGAGTGAGCTGGTCTGTTTTTCCATCAGCACCAACTGCAGACAGATTAAAAGGCCTAACAGTTAAGATATCAACTCATGTGCAACAGTTCAAGTAGACCTCAGCACAAAATAAAATCGGAGAGAGATGCAGTTGTGTTGGGACTACAGGAAGCCCTCACAGTGTTCGAACATGAAGTGCAATCTGTGAAGGATCAGCTACCAAACGCCTTGGGCTGAGCGCTGCAAGCTGCAGAGCTTTACATGTACACGGCACTACAGCCTTTAGCGGACTACTTTTCTTTTAAGCGGGTCCCCACTGAGACAACATAAGAGAGCCCTACCTCTCAAATGCCACAATGGCTCCTCGGATAAAACAAAACATCGTCTTCAAACACAGCTGGAGGTTTTCTTAAAATTACACATTTGACATTCCCCTCGTGATTCTGTTTTTTTCCACTCTTGCGCGCCGGTGACGTCACTTCCTGTCTCTTGCTCTCTCCCGGCTCCTCCCCCCGTCGGGAGAGGAAGAGGGGAGCAGAGCCGCGAGAGAGCGCCGCGTGTGGTGCTGGAACCTGATGGGTTAGGCTGGGGGGGTGTCAAGACAACAGTTTTGTTTTTATTGGCTTTTATGATACAAATAATCACATTTTCATCGCACTTATTTTTGATATTTTGGTACTACAGGACGTACATTTACCGTAGGTCCAGCTACTGGAAAGCAAGGTTTCCTAGTTAAATTAATTGGAAGGTTTCAGTTCTAAGGTTTAATTTCATGGTTTAAAGGTTTGAATATAATACATTTAAAA